GGAAGACACCGAGCTCAGGAAGCTGACTAACCCGTGGCCTCAAAACCCTTCCGACTTCAGGTGATCATCTAAAACACCCTTTAAAACAAGGGTTTATTTAAGGCCCATTGGGCCTATCTTTTTGGTAATTTTTATTAATACTAATCATGTTTGGTAGAGAGGTGTGCCAAGAATATGCAAGAGAAGTTGAGAAATTAGCGTTCAAGCTCTTGGAACTTATCTCCATTAGCTTGGGTCTACCTGGTGATCGGTTAACAGGGTACTTCAAGGACCAAACTAGCTTTTTGCGGTTTAACCATTACCCTCCTTGCCCGAACCCGGAGCTAGCATTAGGAGTTGGACGCCACGCAGACGCAGGAGTTATAACCGTCTTGGCCCAAGATAATGTGGGTGGGTTACAAGTGAGCCGTAGATCGGATGGACAATGGTTCTCGGTGAAACCGAACCCTGATGCTTTCATCATTAACATTGGCAACTGCATGCAGGTAAAATAAGAAATTTGATAACTTTTTTTACAATCTAGGGTCTATGTGTATATAACTCGAATCTTTTTGGGGGTCTAAAGTAACTTGGTCATATAATATTTGTTGTGTGTAGGTATGGACAAATGACAAGTATTGGAGTGCCGAACATAGAGTGGTGGTGAATTCAAGCAAAGAGAGATTCTCAATGCCTTTCTTCCTTTTCCCATCCCATGAAGTCAACATTGAGCCACTGAAGGAGCTTATAAGCGAAGACAACCCGCCTTGTTACAAAAAGTACAATTGGGGCAAGTTCTATGTTGCGAGAAACAGAAGTGATTACAAGAAGCTCCAAACTGAGAACATCCAGATTGATCGCTTCAAGGCCGCTTAAGTAATCTTACTATATGTCCAACGATGAATGTCATGGATTGGATTAGACTATATTCGGCATTAAGTTTCTCACTATGTCAATGGCAAGTATTACCTACAAGTGACTACAACAATTTAGTATAAAGAACAACACTTAGAATCATAATTTACACGTACAAAAATTGCAGTTAAATTGGGTACAAACTAGAAGAGGGACATGAAAGTTGTTGTCCCATTCTATAATCTTTTTTTGTTACACATTCATATACTAAATCACAAGTGGAGTTTCAAATATGTGGTACCATATAGTTAGCTTTTTATACTGAAGCTAAATGTGTTGCAGATGTCCATTCAAATTTGCGTCATGCGCATACGGTTCTATGTTCTTTCTTACAATGTTATTTTGAAGACCATATGAAATGTAATTTTATTAGTATCACAATCTCTTATATACTAGTTGCATATTCCCCACGCAAGCGCGGGGCCGGGATCATTATGTTTGCGTGTGTTTTTTTCGATTTTTGGTTTAGTGGATTCTTCTAATGACATCAATTAATAATGAAATGGAAAATTTCATGTTTTTATATCGTATGTCAAAACTTGATATAATTCTATATTTATAATATTTATATTTGTATTAAACGATTTATCAATATGAAAATAACCTTAATTAAGTTAATATTCGTTGTTTAAGTTTCATTAGATAGGTTTTTATATATGGTTTTTTGTAAGTTTCGGTTTTGTTCATAAATGATGTGGCATTTTTATCTACGGAGTCATCGACTGTGGAAATTCATTCGCCGAAGTCTGGAGTCAGTGGTGAGAAATGTTTTCAATGAAATTATAGTAGTTATTAAAATGTAAGAGAAATTACATATTCATTTAATAAATAACTTACTTAAATTTTGTTGTTTATTTTATTTTATTTCACATACAATTTTTTTTGAAAAATATTAGGAATGTGTTTAATGTTATTTATATGCGAAGTAAGGTTTATAGGAATAGTTAGGCTATAATATAGTTTTTAGTGTGTAAAAGTATGTGTGTTTTTTTTGCTGTAAATAGTTTTTATATCGTAGATCAAAACTTGATATAATTCTATATTTATAGTATTTATATTTGTATTAAACGATTTATCAATTTAAAAATAACCTTAATTAAGTTAATATTCGTTGTTTAAGTTTCATTAGATAGGCTCTTATATATGGTTTTTTGTAAGTTTGAGTTTTGTTCATAAATGATGTGGCATTTTTATCTACGGCGTCATCGACTTTGGGAATCCATTCGCCGGAGTCTGGAATCGGTGGTGAGGAATGTTTTCAAGGAAATTATAGTAGTTATTAAAATGTAAGAGAAATTATATATTCATTTAATAAATAACGAAAATAATTAATTTTTGTTGTTTTATTTTATTTTATCTCACATACAAATTTTTTGAAAATATATATTAGGAAATATGTGCAATGATTTAACTTTTTGAGCTCCTAATCTATATTANGGAATGTTTTCAAGGAAATTATAGTAGTTATTAAAATGTAAGAGAAATTATATATTCATTTAATAAATAACGAAAATAATTAATTTTTGTTGTTTTATTTTATTTTATCTCACATACAAATTTTTTGAAAATATATATTAGGAAATATGTGCAATGATTTAACTTTTTGAGCTCCTAATCTATATTATTCAACCCTCATAAGCCATCCACGTATGCACCCGCGTGGAATTCACTTTTTTTTTTGTTTTTTTTTGTTTGTTCGTTTTTGGATTTATTTTTTTATTTTTGGGTTGAGCTATATTATAATAGGATAGTTTTAAGGTTCTTTAAGCCATCCGCGTAGGCAACCACGTGAGACTTGTTTTTTTTTGTTTTATTATTCGTTTTGGATTCATTTTTTACTATTTTAGGTTTGAACTTGTTAAGGTTTAGGGTTTATACAAATATTTTGATCTTTAAAACAATAAGCCAAAAAAAAACATAAGAACCTTATAAACAAAAAGCCCATATGATAATAACCTAAATAAAAAAATTAAAAATACATGATAACTGCGTGGTTTGAACCCACAATCTTGCATACTTAATTAAACACCTTATACCACTTGGCTAAAGTGTATTTCATTGTTTGTTACCATCTTACCAAGACTATGTGTGTTTAAAATATATTTTTATGATGATGACATTAATTGGTTTATTCATGAGAGCAATGGGAATTGAACTCATATCCATGCAGACCAAACATGGGGTCTTAGACCACTTGGCTAAACTGATATTCTTTGTTTGTAGCCATTTTAAAAAAACTATCTATTTTAATATAAAAATGTGGGATCCACAATCTGCCTATGTGAACACCTTAAGGAGCCTTTAAACTGTATCATTATAATATAGATTACTTGAGGAGCACTATAATAATTGAGTGTAACCACATCATTATTAGAACTAGAGCATTTTCCGCGCTACGCGCGGATTATATACTATTATAATTAATTTTACAAAATTTTGTTTGTATTGTTTTTATTTTGTATTTGAAGTATCGTTCTCATTTCATTCTGTAAATATACATTATAAAATTCACAGATATTTCCAAATTTATAGAATGGATTTTTTTTTCATTTAGAACTTAAACAAAGTTTTAGTATGTAATAATATTATGTGACATGATATTGTTTTTATTCTAATTTTTGAATAGTTGTATATTCACTTAAAATTGAATTGTAAATGTAAGTAGCCCACAAAAAAAATTGAATATGAGTTTTATTTTTCGCATAATAGAGAAAAGAATGATAGTATGACCTCTTCGATTTCAGTTTAATTGACTTCATAGACTAAAATTTTCATTCAAAATAAGTATCGTTTTAAAATTTCAATACAAATTTTATTTAAAATATTATTCTATTTGTTATCTATTGGTTGAAATATGGTTAAGTGTATATGTAATGATGTCTTTATTTTAAAAATAAACAAAATTAAATATTTTCTTAATCTATGTGTATGAACCTAAAAATACAAATTTAAATGAGACGGAGAGTTTATATAATAATTTTTACGTGTTAGATTATCCTCTTTATCATTTCTGTTATTAAACTTAGTAAAATTTTATGTTTTTAAATTTAAATTGAAAGATTTTAAATTGTCGTTGTTTATTCAAAATGATTCAGTTTGTTGCCTAATGAATTATGTAAAGTACTGATATGTTGTAAGAACTATAATTTTTAATTTTTGTTTTTATTAGGTGAGATTGATAAATAATAAGTCAATTTTTTTTCAAATAGCCATTTTTAAGTTTATGTCATAAAATAGCCGTCAAAAAATAAAATGACCAAAATAGTTCTTTATATTTTAAATTTTTTAATATTTGTTTAATTTAAAACTTTAAACCCAAAACTCTACTCTAAACACTAAGTCTAGATTAGTTAACCCAAAAGTATAAAAGTCTATTTACCTTTTAATAAAAATTTATTTTGATTATTTTCTTTTGAATTGTCAAAATAAACTAAAAACGATGATCCAAAGAAATTTCTTTAAATAATATCTTTGGTTGGTAATGGTGTTTCTTTGAATATGTTTTTTGTAATTTTGTAGAAAATTTGCCAATCTCTTTCCAAAAATCACATACAAAGTTTTCATTCCTTCTTTGATATGTAATAAGAGTGTTCAATACTTCTACCTCCGCATTACTTAAACAATATAGAACCTTTTAAACTCTTTCCCTACTTCAAGCTGGGATCTGTTCCAGTTTCTATGCCTACGTGTGGACACTTTGATTAGATAAATACGGTCAAGGAACGAACCGAGTCTAACTTTGTTTCCTCCGTATACATGTGCTATGTTTTCTTCAAACAAAACATTTGGTGATTTTGGTCTTCTCCACCACATCGCCCAACTGTAAAGAAAAATTATCAAACCAATGGTTCAAAATAAACTCATGAAGCTATAGTGTATAAGGTCATACCGCACAGAAAATTGGTCAAATCCAAATTCGTAGTTAGCACTCTCCACAGTGGAAACCAAACCCCTGTTTGATCGATCACCGAGACATCATGTAGCAAACTTGGATTTCCATCAGAATCCCCACCTTTTCCCTTTCGTGAAACAGCAGGTCGAGCCTCTTTAAGGTCTACAGTTCCAACCGAAGGAAGCCATAGACAAAGGACTGTTTTCAAAATTAGATCCCAATCTGTAAATACAAATCTCAATTATAATTTCTTATTAGGTCCAAAACCAGTGTGCCCGTTGCAATTAGTTGAAAATTAGAGGATGTTAGGGTTCATAAATTGGGATTTAATTACCTTTATCATGAAGAATATGAGGAAGCTTGCCATTACCAAAACAACGTTCTCGATCATAAAGCACAACATCGACTGCACGACGATTAAGCACTCAGCCATGATTCTTATCTTCTCGTTGAGATACACAGATCTAAGAGCACATAAATGAACATCAGAACCGTTAAAGAGAGTTCTTCGGAGGAGGCGTGATCTGAAGAGAAGAGAAGCAATTTTTGGGATGGTTTGCTGACGTGGCGAAAAGCTAATCTCTTATTGGTCGATTATATTTGCATACGTGGACACTATGAGGAGGCTTAAATAAACCATTTTAATAGTGTAAAGATAATTCTCATAATCCTTTAAAAAATTAGTTGGTATATCTAAATATATATTATACTTTTTATTAAATAAACAATCAAATTGATTAGTAGTGCGTAAAGGAATATTTTCATTTGTCCTTAAATAAAAACTATGAAATTACCTAGGAGTATTCAATCCAGTTGTCCGTTCGGTTTCAGTTTGTTTTTTGGTATTTTAATTTATAAAAACTAGTTACCATATTATATCATATTTATTTTAGTTTGTCTTGGTTTATATACTAACGGTTTTAGGTTTTTGGGTTTTATACCAAAAACCATAACTATATTTAAATTTTATGGTAACTTTTAATTTGGATGATTTGAAATAAGATTTATTAAAACATAATATATATTCCGTACTCTAGTTAAAAAATCTTCTTTTTCAATTCTTACTATTAAAAATAAAAAAAAATAAAATATTAGTAATGATAATATTATTAAATAACTATATTTTAGATAAATATTTATCACTAAAAATATGTTTTATTTAATTTGATACAAAATGATATTTGTTTTCACTTAGAACAAATAAAATTTCTATTAATATGAATATCATATGAATACATAATGATGTATATATTATTAATTTTATTAAAAAAATAGCATAGAAGTATAGTAATATATTTTAATTAATCGGTTTCTCCAATTTATTTGGTTTATATATCGAACCATATTCATACCACTGTTTCTTAAAATTAACATCTATTCATTTTACTCGGTACTACCGAATCCAAACAACTTTCTCGATTTCGATTAGATTCGATTTTAAATGGTTCAATTTTACCGGATTGAACACCCTTAGAATTAATTACCTAATATGAATTACATTATATATATATACTAGGGGACATCCGCGCTTCGCGCGAGATTTGATATTTTGTGATCAGTAAAATAGAAATTTGTTTGTAAGTGTATTGGATCGTATTGTCATTCGGGGGGAGAATATGGGTTTCATAATTATTTTGTGATAAGTAAAATATAATTTTTTTGTAAGTGTATTGGATCGTATAGTCGTTTGGTTTTTTGGACCCGTATATTGCATGATTCTTTAGGGATGTATTTTTCCTGATTCTTTAAGGATTATTGCAATTTCATATGTCTGCGGGGGAGAATGTGGGTTTTCGTCATTTTTTTTGTGTGCTAGAAGGGAATGTAAGTTTTATAAGATAACAAATGTGTTATTAGGATTCAGCCTAATTATACTATATTTTTATAGCATAAATTATATTACTAAATAGAACAAAATTTTAATTTCTTCTAATAATCAATTATTGATAAAGAATTGACGCTCTTACTTCTCTCACTTGATTTTTTAGATAAAGGGAATTATCTTCTTTTATTTACTGGATGAAGTAGTTCTCAGCCGGAAACTTTTCTGATTTTAAGATGTGTTCTAATTTTTGTTATATTTAGTTCGTTTGACGTTTGATATATGCTTATATATATTATGATGTGTTTTAAACATGTTATGAGACCATATTATTTTAAATTAGTATTATATTTTTGTTGTGGTTTTTCAGTTTGATGAAAACAACTTTATTGCCTTTGACAAATATTTCTTTATTTCTATTTGATATTATTTGTATTTTGAATGGTTTTAATTCTGTATATTATGTTTATTTTTCACAGTGTGTATTTATGAAGATTTCTACATCGTATAATTTTTTGTTTTCGACTTTATCTATTTTTATTCTTTGAAGAAATAAATTAATCTTTTCTGCCATTCAATTGGATATAATTTGTAAGTTATTCTATAGCACTAATTTATATTTATAATAAATTTTAATTATTAATAGTTTTAGAATCACCAAAATATAGAAAAACTTACAGCTTTGTGTGTTGTTAAAATATAGTTAAGATATGATATATATTTTTAACTTACTATTGTTTATAATTTTTTTTTTATCAAACTTTTGTTTATATTTAAAATCATATATTTGAATGTGTAACTGTAACTATGAAATATAGTTAAGGCATGTTTCTATTTAAACATAACTGTTTTGAGCATTTGCCAAAGAAGCAAAAGTTGGTGTGACAAAGAAAAAACAATTACAACATATAGTTGGGAGTAGTGAGTGGTGACCCACCAAACATGAGACCCATCTAAATTTTTGTGACACAACCAAAGCTGGACCATTATTATAGTCAACTAATGATGAAACGATGCCAAACCCGAGATGTTACATGTAACGGACAAAGAAAGCAAAAGCACTTACAGATAGTTGGAGATAACTGAGATCAACAGCTCCACAGATACATTACAGTGTACGAAGATGGGTTTAGAACAATTATATTTACTTTACAGCTCCACAGATACATGACACAGCAAAATCACTATTTTATTTGATATGGATGTGAAAACATCAAAAACACTTATCAAAAGAAGAAATAAAACCATTTTGCATCTCTACTTTGTGTGGTTTGAACCAGAGCATCAAGAACACTTTTCCATCCTCCAAAATCTAAGGGAGAACCAGCATCGGGCAATATAAACCCATTAACATAGAAAGTTGGTATTCTATAAACCCCTCTTGAAGTGCTATACTGCAACAACATAACCCTAAGAAACCAAAACATAAGATAAAATTTACTATTGCTTCCATCTCAGGTAACAATACGAATGGCTATGGTTACTCATATGGTGGACGGTTCAAGTAGGAGACTACTGAGATTTGATTTCTCTACTGAATTTTACACGTTCACCATTTGAACTATCAAGCTTTATATTTTTCAAGAATCTGAACTTATCAACAACGATCAAAAACTTACTTGATAGGTTCAAATCCAGGCCACTAAATCTCTGTATTCGTCAACTGATCCGTTTTCAATTCGTGTTCTTAATACTCCATTGCTAGGTGTTAAGAAAAAAAACAATTCAAAGATGCAAATTGAAGGAATCACTTTGAAAGAAACTCTGCTTGCACGGTCAAATTTCGTTGAAGACGGATTGGAGAACATGTTGGTATGAGTTCCCAACGTGACTGTCCCAAGCTTGACATTTTTCTCCACAACTTCAACTCTTGACAGGGGTTGTGTTTGTGTGTTGTAGAACAATGCCTATCAATAAATAGTTTCAGTGAAACCACATAAATGTATCAAACTCATCATTGCATAGATGCATACAACCAAGATCAGTTACGATGAACAAACTTGATGATCAAAGAACCCTTCCAGCAAACTGAAGGTAGCATATGCGTCTCAAGAATTCACAACCTGTAAACCAGAAGAGCTTCATATGCATTATCATGGCACCTGCAAAATCCAAAAGTCGAAATAGATTCTTTAGGAGTATGAATATGTGAACAGAACCTAAAAGGAATCTTTCACAATTTCATGTAAATAGACATTAAAACAATAAATAAACTCAAGATACTTGTCTATTAATCACGAATCTGTGATATTAGCATCAATCAATACAAGAAACAGATTACTGCAATGGTATGTGCTTGCTTCAGTCCATGAGAACTGTGAAGTCATCGTCGAACTATTCTGACCAAAGCTACGAACTGTTTGCTAATTCCAGAAACTTAATGAAAAAACTTGAAAAGGAGAACATAAAGAGAGTACTGACGGTACTGCCCTTACCACTCTCGATTCACCATGCCGTTGAGCCAAGAAAGAACCGCCATCTTCACTGCCACCGTTTTAAACCAAGCAAGAATTGCCGAACGGTGAGATGCTCCAAAGATCTGTCCGACAGTGGACAGAGTAAGAACTGGAGGAGTCCGTGGTTATTGCTCTGGTTATGTCTCCTCTAAATCACCATCACTAAAACGATTGAACAAGTAAACAGGGAGAGAGAGATTCCTTGGTTCCCAAAATCATTTAAGAACCAAATAACCTTAGAATGGAGGGGAGTATGTGTTGATGGAAGAAGGCTGACTTTTTATAGGTGTTATCCTAGAAGATCAAACACGCGATCGAAACCCCATCAAATAGATTTAACGTCGACTCCAACACACAAACTTTTAAACGGTAGAGAACAAAGAATGTGTTGATCCCTAATTTCAATGGAAAGTGGGTTGGCCTAGAGTTGCTTGATAGCAGGCTGGGTCTATTGAGCATGGGTGAAGCCCAAACACTAAACGAAGCCCGTAACAATTAAAACACAGATTAATGAAATACATGTGTCAATCTGTAGTAACACTATTTGATGACTTGGCACAACATGAGGGAAGCAAACTGTACTTTATATAGTAAGATATGACAGTTATGATTATGAATAATAAATATTTGATAATAGTTTTTCTATCCTCTATCAGTTTTTTAATTTATATTATTAAAAATTAAACAATCACATTAACTATATAATTAAAATTTTACATTTTTCTTATATGTTACATGTTAAATTTTCTAAAATTATTATAAATTAATAAAAATTTTAAAAATCTTTAAATTAAAATTTTGTGAAAAATGGTTTTACTTTATTTTTTAATAAAAAGATACAAATGATCATAAAATATTTAAAATATATTGAAATTAAATATATATATTGATGCCTAAATATTTTAATTTTAAAATTTGCTTTGATTTTTTTAAACAATTATAAATTAATAAAACTACTAAAACTCTCGCATTGGAAATTTTTATTAATTGTTTAATTTTTTTACAATAAAATTATATGAGAAGGAATTAGAAATCTTCAATTAATATTTATATTAAAATTATATATCTATAACAATATCATCTAAATTTAATTATATATATAAAATAAATAAAATGATTGATTGGATTTTTTACTTTGATTTAGATTTGTTCCAGTTTAATTATATACATAATATTAACTTGTTTCTTAATTATTTAATATATTTACTATTTCATAATATTTAAATGAACATAAAATCAATAATAATATATATAAAGTGTATATGTAATATTTATCATGAGAAATATGCGGATCTTAACCTAGTATCTTATTATTGAACAACAAACATGGTCTTTTCTATATATTGAACTGCATTAAGATCATTTTATCATATTATTGTTAATGATGTTCTATAGCATACCATGCAATCATCAGCCGCACAACACTCCATTGCTGATTCTCTTGCAAAATTGGCACTGTGTAATGGCTCTTCTTCTCCCCTGTACTGAATTGGTTTCTATCAATCTAATTATGTTTTGTTGTTCAACAAAAAATATTTTTTGTAACCGAACTTTTCCTTCTTATTCTTGATTTTATTTTTCTGTACTTATTCTATAAAAACATAAATATAAACATGAAAATTTGAAACCAATATGATCAGAACTTTTTCACTAGGCCTGGGCATCGGATCCTCGGATCGGGTTTATGTCGGGTCATGTCGGATCCAGGTCCTTCGGTTCTTAGATATTTAGATCTAATAGGATAATTAGAATTTGTCGGTTCGGGTTCTACCGGATCTGGGTCAATTCGGATCTTAGATAGTTGGATTTAATAGGGTAATTTGAATTTATTCGTTCGGGTTCGATTTGGTTTCGGGTCGGATTCGATTCGGGTATTGTCGGGTCCGGCCCAAAAAATACCCAAAACACATAAAAATACATGAAAATATTTAAATACCCAAAAATATTCAAAATTTTACCCAAATTCTTATTCGGAGACATAAAAATATCCAATATTTTATCTGATTATCCGAATTCTATTTTTAAAAATCTAAAGTGTTACTTAAAACCCAAAATTATACCCGAAAACTCAAATCTGAAACTTAAGATAATATTCATAATAGCAAAAAAAACTAATATATATATATATATATATATATATATATATATTAGAATTTCTGAATATTTTGGGGATTCCATCGGGTCTAGGATTTGGGTCGGGTCCAAGATCTCCGGATCCTCCACAACAAGACCTAAGAACATCCACAATGGTGTGCTCCCATTGTGGATCCTTAGCACTATATTATTAATTTTTTTTGAATAGTTAAGGATTCGAAGTCAAATAGTATGTTCAATGGTGTTCTCCGATCCGGAATCCTTAGAAAAAAAAATATTTTTTAAAAAAATGTAAAATGAAGAAGAATCTGTGTTCCGTCACTAGAAGACAAGGAAACGGTTCATCCATCTTTGGATCAACAGAGCCTCTGCCATGCTTAACCCTAACATAGACCAGAGTCACAAGTTTTATCAACAAGAGCAAATTCCCAAATCGTTACATGATCAGCATCTACGATCTACAATCATTGTAAAGAACATACCTTGATTGCAGAAAAGTCTCAACCTCGACATCTCCCAACCCTTTTCCATCATCATCATCATCATCATCACCATCATCAGGTTGCCATCTTTTGTTTCTGCTCTGGCTTGACGATGGTGAAGAACGAGTAACATCCTCATCAACTGAAGTGCATCTCTTAACAAAACTCATTCTATTGCTCTGTTCACTTTGGCCACTACTGCTCTCTTCTCTTGATTTTCGTTTGAGCCTCTCATCAAACTCAATCTATGCGCGTCGAAGCCTCCACATCTCATCGGTTTCTACAGCTTTGTTTGCTGCATGGTGAAAATAAGTAACCATACAAGAGAATGAAATATGAACTCTAGTGTTCAATCAAAAGCCAAAACACATCAGAATACAGAGTGACAGATGAGGGTTAAACAGAGTAGATCAGCCTCTAGTTGTTTGCATCATTAGATACATGTGCCTAATGTTCTCTCAATAAGAAAAACATGTCCAATATTATTCAAAATCCTAGCTTAAGAGAAACCAAAATATAAACATAGTGGAAGAAGAGGGATAAAAGGAGAATACCTTGCTGAACACCAAGAACAATAGCAGTGAGAAACCTAGAGTTAGGTCGATGCCTTACATTAGGCTTCTCAAGATAAGCTCGGACTCCTTCTTTCTCAGCTTGTCTCCTCAATTCTGCTGCTTCTCTTAACAAAATCGAAGCTATTCGATTCTCAGTTTCCAAATCCATCTAACTCCCACAAGAAGCAACTCTTGAAAAATCAAACATACGAAAAAAAAGTTGAGACCTTCAAATCAAAGATGAAGGCTGAGAACTTGTTATAATTATCTAAAGCTTGAATTTTTAAATCCAGTTCGACCACTTACTACCCTAAATAGTCATAAAGCTTTCAAATTTACACTAAAACTATGTTCTTACGACTCGAAATCAACGAGGAGATGAAGAAGAAGACAATTCAAAACTGCTTTAACCGAAAAAAGATTTTATTTTTTTGAGAACCAATAAGTTAATATCGAAGAGGAGATTGTTTACCACGAAATCGAACTTACTCAGAGATCAAGTTTCGCAGACGCTGGCGCTGACACTGATTTTTTCAAGACAAAAAAATGAAATACCCATGAGATGAGAAAGACACGTAACTAAAGATTGGGTACTGATAACCTCTTGCTGAAAGATCAATCCTTCATAAATCCAGTCCACATATTATTATTTTAATCCAAAAGCATTAAGGATTTGGGCCTACGGATTCGTCTTTTTGTCCGTTGCGGCTGCTCTAATAGGATAAAATGATTGGATCGGTTCCTAACCGAACTGTATTTTTTCGGGTCGAATTTTCGGATCCGGGTAAAATGTCTATACCTAGTTGTCACTTTAATTGCACCTCTATTGGAGGCACGTGAACGCTATCTTCCAAGGCTGCATTAATATTACAACGTACATGTAGGACCACCCTTCTATGTAAACTTTTTAGAAGCAATCAGGCTTTTAGAACTTACGCGTATACTTACCACAAAGTAGCGTTTCCAAGATTACTTCAAAGATCAAATGAGATTTTAAGGAAGGATAAATCATTATCCACCAATCCCACGGTCTATGTGTTAACTTTTTATTACCAAAGCTATGATGTAAGCCCTCAGTGAGATACTGTCGGAAATATGATATATCTGATATATATTCTAAGTGATGTGCTCTTTTTTATTTGTTGCAAATATAGTAGTATAGGACTTCGGATCGAGATCCAAGTATCCAACTAAGATTTGACTTGTGTATATCACATTCTCCACCTTTCCAAGAATCCGTCTAGATTCAAAGCTACTTTCTCGTGAACTGATCCACCTCTCCTAATTTTGTAATGTTTGAGATTTGTTGCAAAAATAAAAACAAAATGGTTAATTTTGTTCTAAAAGGGGCATCTATATTCTATATAAAACGCTCATGAACTTTGTGAATATACTCCGTCTACATACATCTTTCATCATTGGCGTATTTTTGGTCCTCTTTGTACAACTGGCATGACTGTAAATCCTAATTAACCTAATGTGATAAAAAGTTAATTGTTGACGGAAACTAGTCTACATTCATTTTACCAATAAAAGCGTTTTATTTTCGATACACACG